ACACAGTGAGAGAGAGAGCGAGGCAGAGACATAGGCAGAGGGAGAAGCAGGCTCCATGCACCGGGAGCCCGACGTGGGATTCGATCCCGGGTCTCCAGGATCGTGCCCTGGGCCAAAGGCAGGCGCCAAACCGCTGCGCCACCCAGGGACCCCTCGTCATTCCTTCTTGAGGATGGCATGGAAGTGGTGCAAACAGCCTCCCGAGGGGAACTTCTGTGGTTCAAAGTCCAGCTTTGTCCCTTCTGAGCCGCTTAAACCTCCCTGGGCCTTGATTTCCTTATCTGAAAAATGGGGTTGATTATAATAGGACCTACTTCTGTTGGTCTCTCACGAACGGTCAAGGCCATGCACTCTGGGGCCCCTGGAGAGAGCCTTGCTGTAACCCGGAAGGGTCTTCACTCGCTAGAACTAAAAACACGTGTGCTGTTCCCTCCCCCTGGAACACCCTTCGGACCCCTGCCCACCCACTTCCGTTCTGTCCTTCACCCAGAAAGACCCAGATGGACGAGTAGGTGGCCAATGCGTACTGCTGTCCGGACAGTCGGAGCTGTGACTGTCCTCACCACCCCGCCCCAGGGGGCCTGGAGGCCAGCTGACTGCAGAATTCAAAGTGAGAGCCACTTATTTTTTTTTAAAGATTTTTTATTTATTTATTCATGAGAGACACAGAGAGGGGCAGAGACACAGGCAGAGGGAGAAGCAGGCTCCCTGCAGGGAGCCCGAGGTGGGACTCGATCCCGGGACCCCAGGAGGCAGGTGCTAAAGGCAGGTGCTAAACCGCTGAGCCACCCAGGCGTCCCTTTTTTTTATTATTTTTTTATAAAAGTGAGAGCCACTTAAACAGCGTGCAGTGTGGCCCTGGGCAAACCATGTCCTCTCACAGACTGTTTCTTCATCTGGAACATGCGGGGTATCGCCCGGGAGCCCGGCTCAAGAGGCAAGGAGTCCGTGTGGAAAGAACGTGCCATGCTGGTGGCCTCTCCCATCCCATACTCCACCCCTGCGCCAAGGCTGCTCCCCATCCCCCAGCCCCAAGCCTTAGTTTCCCCATTTGGCCACCCTGCCCCGTAGAGAGGACACCGGTGGATGGGCAGGAGGAGGCCTCTGCTGGGGCTCGCTCAGAGCAGCCGCTGGGGAGGCTGGGCTGAGGCCGAGGCCCCTTCTCGGACGGGGCAGGTCCTGACTGGGCGCAAGGGCTCTATGCACACTTATTAAGCACCCACTGGATGCCGGACCCAGCCTTTGCCCCTGCCCTTCTAGCTGCCGGGATCACTTTTCCTTTTCACGGTGCTGATTCCCGCTGTCTCTGCTCCTGGTCTAGAAGACGCCACCTCCAGGAAGCCTCCTACATTCTCTGGGTTGGGGCAAGCACCTCCCTTTGGGTTAAATGGTGCCGGAGCTCCCCCCTTGATCTCCGTCAAGGCCAGGGGCTGGAGGCAGGTCACTTAGTCCATCGACAAACACCAACGGAGCGCTTCGTGTCAGGCACTGTGCGGTGGGAACCCTCCGGGGCCCGTTGCTCTTGCTGCCCCCACTTTCCAGATGGGGAAACTGAGGCTTGGGACAGGTTATTGGTGGAAGCCACGTGGCCTGAGTCCTGGAGCACCGCAGGGCCTCAGTGAGAGCTGGTTTCTATCCCCAGTGACGGGGAGCTCACTCCCTCACCTGGCAGCCTGGTTGCAAGGAAAGTCGTCTGTCTCGTGACCTGGGGGGGTGCCTGCTTCCCTGTGGTGCCTGTGATCTTGAAGGAGGCCCAAGCTCGAGATGAGGGGATTCGTTCATTCTTTCATTCGTTCATTCACTCCGTCAACCAACACGCGAGCCAGGTTCCACAGCGTGCAGGTGGCCGGTGGTGCTGGCCAGCCTTCCTACCTGCTCCCCCCTCTTCACCACCAGTGGAACCTCTGGTCTTCAGCGGGACTGTGGGCCACTCACAAAAAAGACTACATTTCCCAATGTCGTTTTAGGCAAGTGCAGCCACATGAATCAGTTCTGGCCAATGGGGTGTGAGCCGAGGTGGTATAGGGGATTCCTAGGCACACATCCCTAAAAGGAAGTGGGGAGGGGCGCCTGGGTGGCTCAGCAGTTGAGCATCGACCTTCAGCTCAGGCTATGATCCTGGAGTCCTGGGATCAAGTCCTATACCGGCCTCCCCGAAGAGCCTGCCTGTGTCTCAGCCTCTCTCTGTGTCTCTCTCATGAATAAATAAAATCTTTAAAAAAAAAAAAAAAAGGAAGTGGAAAGCCCTTCCTCACCCTTTCCTCCTCATTGGTTGGAATTGCAGATGCAATAGCTGGAGCTCAAGCATCTGGCTTGTCCCAGGAGGAGGTGGCCACTTGCTAAGGATATGGAGCAATAATATAGAAGGACCCCGGGCCCTGGACACCGTAGAGCCTCCATGCCATCCCTGCACCGACCGACTGCTCAGATTTATGAGCCCCGTGTGCTTACTCTTCTCTGGTTGGGTCTTGGATCCCATCACCAACCCCAGTCCTGACTGCTACGTCTGTCCCTCCCGGTCTCCATCTCCCCATGCTCACCCCCCCTCGTGCCTGCTAGATGGAAATGCTTGTCCTCGCTTGGCAGAGCCAATGGGCATCCCCCATGGCCAAGCAGGGAGCCCTGGACAATGTAGGCATTTCTTTGTGACATTACAGAGAGTTGGGAGCAAGTCCCTCAGGAGGTGGGTGTGAGTCCTCATCACAGAGCCGCAGCCCCTCAGGGATCCCATGCAAGGACCTCAGCCTGCCTCTACGCACATGCATGCACACGTGTGCACACACACACGTGCACCCCAGAGCCATGACCAAGGGCCTATCCGTCGCCATCATCAATCCAAGAAGGGAGACTCTTTTCCTTAAACCACCTCGAAGTTTTCCAGCCTGGTCAGGAAGTGTGGGCAGCAAAGCACAGGTGAAGAACCCTTTCACATGTGTAACACGGGAAACCTCCCACCACACACGTATTCCCCTGTGGGCTTCCCGACACCAGACTGCATGCCCCGAATCCTACCATGGCTCTCATGCTGCATGACCCCAAGCCACTACTTGGCCTCTCTGGGCCAGGACCGCCTCATCTGGAAAGCAGCGACCTAGAAGTGCCGCTGAGAAGGATTTTCTCTGAGCTACTGAGAGCCCTCCTGCGGTTTTACTCAGCCCTCAGAATAAAAATCAAATTCCTTCCCCAAATTTACAAGGTCTTGTACAACCTGCCTCCGTCCCCTTCCTGCCCTCACCTCCTCCCTGCCCCCCCTCCCCCGACCTCGCTCACGCTGCTCCAGCCACAAGGGCCTCCTGGCTGCGGCTCCTCCAACATGCCAGGCCTGGTGCTGCCCCGGGGCCTTTGCATGGGCTATTCCCTCGGCCTGGACTACTCTTCCTGCATATGCCCCTCCTTCTCGCCATTCCAGGGTCAGCAGCGTCAGATCCAGTGTCCCCTCCCTGACCTTGCTCCTCAGGAGGCCGAAGCAACTGCCCCTCCCTCATCTCCCGGAAGACCCCTTGATAGGCCCGACCGTCCCAAAGGGGACACCTCATCTGCTCGCCAGAACATTAAGCCGCATCTGAGCTGGCCTCCGAATCCAGCTGCAAACTTGCAGGAGACCCAGGGGACCGAGGAGCAGGCTATGTGGCCCCAAGGGGACAAGCTGGGCAAAGCCAGGTGGGAGATGTCGCCTCGGGGCTTACGACCCAGTGGCTTCAATGAATAAATTGCAAGGCAGGAGTAAGAGAGCCGGAGACAGGGAAGCTGTCGATGGAGACCCAGGAGATCGCCGCCGACTCCAGACTTTATCTAGACTGTGGCCCAGACCACCCCGGGGAACGCGCCTCACGAGCGCGCACAGTGCCGCACGCCCGCTGGCTGGGTAGCTGATGCCACGAGGGAATCGTTATTTTGAACGTGATACTGAAGTCTGTGAGGGCTTGAGAGTCTGATCTGAGGGGCACCCTGGGTGGCCCAGTCAGTTAAGCATCTGACTCTTGGTCTCTGCTGAGGTCATGATCTCAGGGTCAGGAGATAAAGCCCCGTGTTAGAAAGAGAGAGAGAGAGAGTCCTATCTCAGAGCAGGGGCCGTCCTCCTTGGCACTGGTGACCTCGGGGCCCGCTCATCATAGGGGCGCTGGGTGGGTGGGCCGAGCGGCCCCCCACCCCCTTGATGCCAGCCCCCCCACCCCGGGTGTGATCACCAAAGGTGTCCCCAGACACCGGCCCGGAGTCCCCCGGGGACAAAATCCCCAACCCAGGTGAGAACTGCTGCTTTAGAAACACCAGATGTTTACCCCTAAAATCCATCTGGCATTTTCGTGGGAACGATGAGGATGGGAGGCAGGGAGAGTGGCCCTGGATAGGCACTTGTCGAATCCGAGTAACGGGTGCATGTGCGGGAGGATCGTTATTCTCTCCCGTCCCCTTGGCTGTTGGGGAAGTTCAAATCCAAGCCGGGGGTGAGTTCACCCGAACATCCGTCCGCACCCACGTTGCTTTCTCGGAGGGGGACGAGCGAGCATGCTGGGCTCGGGTGGGAGGTGAGCATTCTGGGAAGCCGGGTGAGGGGGTACGTGGGAGCTCCCTGTGCCACCTCTGCCACTTTTCTGGGAATATAAAATCAGTCCAAAGTGAACATTTTATTAAAAAAAAAATAAACGTTGAAACGCAGAATGAATAAGCGAATCAGAGATCTGCAGACCGCGTGCCCAGGGTGCAACGAAGGTGCGGGGCGTGTCCCAGTGCCACCGCTGCCGCTGTGACCACACAGCGGCTCTGGAGACACCCACCCCCGCCCCACCCCGTCTCCTCACTCACCCAGGGAAGCTGGAAGCCACTCTTAGGGCCCAGCTGGGATTTGCGACACGGGCGGCACGAGGGGCCAGGAGCCCGGCGGCCCCACAGCAGCCAGGGCAAGAATCCGCTTTCAAACCCACTTTATTCTCTCTAGACTAGAAACACTCCGTATTTCCACTCTCCCCACCCCGATCTTGGCCGGCCAGGGGCCCGCGGCCTCACCGGGGTTCCGGGGGCCTCTCCGAGGACCTCTCCGAGGACGCCACGGCCTCCGCCACCCCCACGGAGGTGGAGCTGCAGCAGCCCTGGGAGCCTCCGGCCCGGGCCAGCAGCTCCAGCCTTCGCAAGCGCAGCCGGGCCTGGATGGCCCAGATCGGGGGCCGGTGGCCGGGCAGCGAGGGGTCCTCGTCGCCGAAGCTCTCGACGGTGGAGTCGGAGCCGTCTTCCGTGCCGGCCACGGACTGCTTGCACACGGGGCAGGAGCGCCGCGCGGCCTGGGAGAACCAGGGGTCGATGCACTTGCAGTGGTAGGTGTGGGAGCAGGGCAGGATCTTGAGCTGGTCGCCCTCCTCGTACTCGTCCAGGCAGATGGCGCACAGGTCGTTCCGCCGAGTGAAGGTCCGGACCTGGGCTTTCTGGCAGGGCTGGGGCTTCACCGCCGGCCCTCGGGTCCACCAGGCCCAGAGCCAGTTCCACAGCTGTCGGAGGACGAAGAGGACGGACGTGAGCAGGGCCAGGGCGCGGCCCAGCACCCAGGAGACGGCCAGCACGGGGTGGCAGTCCAGGTCGGGGCACGGCGGGTAGTCGGGCAGCAGGAGGACGTGGGCTGCCTTGTCGCAGCGCACGATGACCCGCAGGTCCTGCGAGGCGGCCTCGCCCACGAACACCGACGGGATGGCAATCTGGCGCCGCAGGTCCTCGTAGACGTGGGCCATGCGCACCAGCTCGTCGGAGCGGACGTTGTGCACGATGGCCGCCTCGAAGCCGGCCCTCTGGGCGTGCAGCACCTTGAGATCGAACGTGCAGTCGTACCGGCGGATCAGCACGATGGCGCCCAGCGAGCCGTTGCCCGGCCGCGGGCCCTCGATGGGATGGCAGGCGTTGGCCGGCTTGGCCTCCATCAGGTAGCCCCGCACGCCCTCGGGGGCCAGCGGCAGCCCGAACAGCGCCGGCAGGTCGGCGAAGTCCACGGTGCTCGCGTTGCCGTCCAGCACGGCCCGCACCAGCGCCTCCGACGGCACCAGCAGCGCCAGCAGGATCAGCGAGGCCTCGGCGGCCCCCAGGGCCAGGGCTGCCCGCGGCCACCCCATGGCCGCCCCCCGGCCCGGCCCCCGCCCTCCTCCGGCCACCGCGGGCAGCTAGGTCCCGCTGGGGACGGCAGATGGGAGGCCCTCGGGCATCTCCAGGGCCTCCCAGGGGCCCGTGGCCGGGGCGGGCGGCAGGTGAGCGCGCCGGGGTGGGGGGGCTCCGAGGCGGGTTCGCAGGGCGGCCGGGACCAGGGCGGCCTTAGGCGGAAGCTGCTCCTGGCGGCAGCCCGGCGCGCATCGTGTCGTGTCTCCGAAGGCCGGTCTCAGGAGCAGCTGACCTGCCCAGGCGGCCGTGCGGGCGGATGACGCTGAGGCCAGGAAGCCCCAGGGTTCTAGATGCCCCCGGCCTCTGTGACATCGTCCTGTTACATCTTGTCCCCAGGAGCCCCCAGTTGCCTAGGACTGGGGCCAGGACAGCATTCCTGGGTCTCTGACCTCGGGGGCCTGAGCAGCCTTTGAGAAAACTTGTGGAACGCTCAGAGCACCCCCGGGTCCTGGAACTCACGAGGCTCCGGGGTGCCACAAAGTGGGCTGGTGGTCCCCAGGGGCGTGGATCCTGCGCCTATACCCATCCTCTAGAGTGTCATCTCCCCGAGACCGCCAGAGATCCACCAAGGTTAGGTGCCAATGTCACCCTACCACCCTTTAGAGATACACAGAAGGACCCAGACTTGTTCAGGGTACCCCTTCCCCCATGAGGTCAGGTCTCAAAACCCAAACTGCAAAGCTCCTCCATCTCTCCCCCTCTATTCACTCTGCTCCAGCCACGGGCACCTCCTCACGGTTCTTACAACACACCAGGCGTGGTCCTGCCCCAGGGCCTTAGCACAGGCTGTGCCTTCTGCCTGAAATGCCCTTTCTCCCAGGGCCTGCTCTTTCTCACAACTGAGGTCTGAGTTTGTACGTCCTCAGAGTCTAACTAGATTTGATCTGGGGGGAGAGAGGTGCCCGGGTCAGGGTGGAGCGGGCAGGACTGGGTGGTCCCTGTCTTCACCACCTGGTAGACCTCAAGTCCTGCACCAGCTTTATTCTCTGTGCCTCTGCTCCAGCTGGGTCCCCAGCTGTCCCCACCCCCACCCCCACCCCCACAGGCCCTTCCTCAGCCACAGGACTCCTCATCCCCCACACCTCCCACCCGGAGTCTGCCCCCGGCCAGGCCAGGCAGCCTGCTCCCAGCTTCATTGCTGGGTCTGCCATTCACAAGCTGTGTGACAGCAGGTAAATCACTCAATCTCTCTGGGCCCCCGACTCCAGATCCGAAAAAGCAGGCATAACTATGAGGAACCCAGCTTAGGAGCCGGGCGGGGAGAGAAGTGAATGAGATGACGCGTGATCTGCGCCCAGCGCTGGGGTCTGACCGTTTCTCTCTGCCGGACTGGACCTGCCTCCACTTTGAAATCTTTCCAGTCAGGGAATTTTCTAGAATCCCAGTCCTCCAGCCTCTCCCATGGCTCCCCATTGCGAGCCAGATGCAGGCCACACACCGGCCCACAAGCCCCTCACCCCCCATGATGGTCAAGACCCTGCCCATCGATCTCTTCCGCCTGAGGCCCTTGGATGCTCCAAATGCATTTCGAGTCCTTGACCTCCAGAGCTTTGCAGACGCTGCTTCCAGCGCCAGGAGCAGCAGCGGCTCCTCCGTGGCACCTCGCCAGGCTGACTACTTACCCTTCAGGTCTCCTCGGTGGCCGGATGCCTCCCGGGGCAGCCCTCATCTGGCCACGGGGGAGAGGCAGGGACACGGGGAGGAGGCCGGTGGCAGCCAAAGCCAAGGAGCCCAAGGGGGGCCAGCCTCGCCAGGAGCCCAGGCGGCAGGACACTGGCAGAGTCTCCCCCGAGCCTCAGGAGGAACCGCCCCCTGCCAACACCTGGGTTGTGGACTTCTGGCCTCCAGAGCTGGGAGAGAAGAAAGTTCGGTGGTTTCATGACCCCCGCTCCAGCCCCGCACCCCGGGGTGGTGGTTCCTTGTTACAGCAGCCGCAGCAGGCAAGGAACATTCCCTGGGAGCCTTGCCCCAGGTCTGCGTCCAGGGGAGCCAGAGGGGCAAGGTGTCACCCCGCCCAGAGTGGAGGGTGAGTGAGGATGGGCTGGGTGTGGGAGGGCAGAGAGGAGCGTGCTGGGAATGGGAAGGGAGAGTGAGAAGGTCCTGAGGTGGGGGGGAGGGGAGGGAGGGGAGGGAGAGGAAAGGAGGGGGGAGAGAGAATGGGGGAGGGGAAGGCGGGGGAAGGAAGGGAGGCAGAGGGAGGGGAGGGAGGGGAAAGGAAGAGGAGGGAGGGGAGGGAGGGGGAGGGAGGGGGAGGGAGGACCTACCAGGTGAGCGTCTGGAAGGAGGGTCTGACTCAAAGGCTGGAGAGGGCGGGCAAGGCCCAGAGGATGGGGGACAAGGGCAGGTGCTTCCCTACCCCCAGTCTCCACATCTCTGCACTGCTTGGCCCTTTTGCAAGGGGAACCAAGTCACTCACTGCTCCTGAAATAAAAAGCAATTAGTGCTTCTGACCAGAGACGGTTCCGGTTCCTGCTGGAGGGCAGACTGGAGAGGGACCGGGAGGCTGGGAAGCTGCGGAGGGGAGGACGGAGAGTCCGGAGAGTCCAGAGAGCAGAGACAGGCTCAGAGGGGACACCGCAGCCCGAGGGAGCAAGCGAAGGGGACTGAAGGTGCTTGCCCCCTCACCCACCGGGGGATCATTCCCAGAAGTCACTGGTGCTGGCGGCTGTCGTCTTGTCAAGCCACTGCTCATTTCCCTAAGGGACGGGCCTGGCCCCGCTGGAATCCTACAACATCTGTGTCTTTGCATTTTTCAAGTCCCAACCCTTTGTGGTGAGAGACTTGGGGTTTTATGTTGTGATTCTCACCACGGCCTTAAGGGAAGACAACGGGAGCGTGGATATTTAGGGGATGTTTGGTAAGTAGAGGAATGACGGATGATTATGGGGGAAAAGGCAGAGAAAGGTTCTCCAAAGACGGCAGCTGATAACGAGGCGTCTTGGTTTCCTAGGGCTGCGTAGCAGAGCACCGCGGGCTGAGCGGCTGAGAACATCCGAAATTTATTTTTTTCCAAGTTCTGGAGACCAGAGGTCCATGATCAACGTGTCGGCAGCGTGTGCCTCCCCCACCCCCGACCCCCTCGGGGGCTCCTCTAGCTGCTGGAACCTGCTCGGCCCACATGAGCCAGCCAGTGGGCACCCCTGGGAGCGGCCCCGGACCCACGACCGGTGGGACCCCGTGGACCAACACTCCATCTCTCATGCTCCTCAGGCGATCAGATGAATTGGCTTTGGGGTGCGTGTCCCTCACCACCTCCTTGAGGACCCCAGTGGGACTGAGCTCCAGCTGCCCCCATGCTGACTGTGCTTCCTTGAAGTTGCCCTCCCTTTCCTGTGTCTGACACATACACACACACCCCACTCCCCTCCCAGGGATTTCTGAAATCACTGCCAACATCACTAATCTCATTTCAAATTCTTGTCTCAGGATCTGCTTCTGAGGGGAGCCGAAACTAGGAGGCCGCCTGAGAACAGGGCCGGTGCATAAGAAAACAGAACAAAGAGACCGAGAGACGCCCAGGTGCTAGAAACATCGTCTGCACATCTGGATCGAGCTGAGCCTGAAGGCCACCTGGGAGATGAAATAATACATCCTTTTTTTTTTTTTTTTTTTTTTTTGGCTGAAAGGAGATTCCTGTCCCCACACAATTAACCTCCCAGGGAAGAGGTGAGGCTTCCAGAACCTCACCCGAGAAGGGACACCGGGCACAACTGTAAGCCTGATTTTCTATTTCTGCTCCACCCACCTCTACCTGCCACCCAATGTTTGCAGGGGGAGCCTCCTTTCGCGGTGCTGGCGGGGGCACGCTGAAGATGTCCGGCTCCTCAGGCTGTTAGACAGAAAACACATGTCAGGTGGGGTGACGGGATGTGTCCCGGAGCTCAGAGTCACATGTAGTGGCGTGTCCTTCCCTCCTTCCTCCCACATCCCCGCATCCCCTGCTGCACTCAGTGTCCAACTGGCCCCCCTCCGCGAGGAATGCCCCGGGGGGCGGGGGGAGCAAGGTGTGCAAGGTGTCAGGCAGGGAGAAGCCGTCCACCTGCAGCCGGACCCGGGCCCCTCTGTCTCTTGGTCTCTCCTCTCTGGGCATCTCTGTTCCCGTCTCCCCTTGTGTTTCTCTCCCACTTACTCTCTCCTGCCTGTCGTGTTTCCTTCGGTGGCTCCGCGTCTGTCCCTTCGGCCCCGCGATGATGTGGTTGGCCTCAGTCTCCCCCCGCTGCGCCCTTGGAGCCCGACGTGGCCCTCGCTGGCCCAGAAGGCTGCTCCTCCCCTCGGACCGCTCACCTTCTGGGGGACAGATGCACGGTTGGCAGAGGCCTTCTGAAAACCGTCCCCCAGGGGCCACCCACTGCCCTTTGGGCTTGCCACTCTGCTTTTCCCCGTGGCCCCTGGAGCCAGCGAGCCTGCAAAGAGGGGACAATCCTCCCAAAGGCTGCAGCCGACGAGGGGCCAGGCTGCCTTCCCGGCCCCAGAGCGCCCGGTCCTCCTGCCCCACAGGCCCGGTATCGGCTGCAAACTAACAGCGGCCTTGCTGTTTGGCCAGACTCCCCCCTTTCTCTTCCTACCCCCCCCCGCCCCGCAGAAGGCATTTCTGGGCAGAGGGATCTGTCTGTCTGCCCGGGACAACTCGCGAGGCGCCTGAGGACGCACCATGGTGACCAAGACAAAACCCCTGACCTTACGGAGCTTCTGTTCCAGCTGAGAAGAGGGAAGACAGCCAAACAACGAATTAGCTTAATGAATAAAGCAGCCATCAGACGAATCATTTCAGGGTGTGACGTGCAGCGTGCAGCGAAGGAAATCAAGTGGGGGCAGTGTTTGCGGGGGTGGAGTGGGGGGGCGCTCAAGGAAGGTCTTCCCGAGGCACGCACGTTTGAATGGGAAGAGGGAAGAACTTTGCTTCTAGAACATTCCTGGGGCGCCACCAAATCACACGCCACCAAACTGACCTGGGGTTTGCCGATCGGCGTCATTTCATTTTATTTGCTCATCAAATGTTTGCTGGGGACCCACTGCGTGCAAGGCTCTGGGCCTGGACGCTGGGGACACTGAAGTGACCAGGACAGACCCAGTCGCCACCCACCCGGGGCTCAGTCCAGGGGAGGAGCAGGGCCTCCAAACAAATGAACAAGCATATTTCAAACAGCGGTGGCAAGTCCCATGACAGAAGTAAGACAACGAAGAGACGCGATCGAGTGTCTGCGAGACAAGAATTCGTGGGCAAGAGCGTGAGGACAAGCAGGGTGTTGGCAGGGTGTCAAAGCAGCGCTCCCGAGATCCTTAGGAATTCGGAAAGTAAAACGGGAATTTTCCAGTGGGGGAGCCTGCGTTGGGGGGGTGGGGAGAGACACGGTGGTCACCGTGGGATCAAGGTTAACATCAAGGAGACGCATCTGATTCCAGGGGCTTGGCCTCCTGCACGGGGGACATATTGTCGTCCCCGCCTGCCCCCCCCACCCCCCTGCCACACGCGGAATCCAGGTGGAGATGCCCAACCTGGGCTCATCGTGAGCCAATTCCAGATGGACCCGAACTGAGGGATGTCCCACAAAACCCGTGGCCAGTGCTCTTCCTAGGTGCCAAGGTCATAGAAGATGAGGACACTGTCCCAGAGTGTGGGGCGCCACCGGGCAGAGGTACAGGGAGTGGCTCTGGGTGGGATCCTGGGTCAGGGAGGGGACCCCTGCAGAGAAACCCGTCAAACCCGAATGAGGCCTGTAGGTTTGTTAGCAATGCTGTGCCCCCACTAGTTTCCTGGTTTTTTTTTTTTTAAATTTTATTTATTTATTCATGAGAGACACAGAGAGAGGCAGAGACACAGGTGGAGGGAGAAGCAGACTCCCTGTGGGGAGCCCGATGCGGGACTCGATCCCGGGACCCCGGGGCCACGGCCTGAGCCGAAGGCAGACGCTCAACCGCTGAGCCACCCAAGCGTCCCAGTTTCCTGGTTTTGATCATCAGGCCGAGTTATGTAAAAACGTCACCACTGGGGAGAGCTGGGTGCGGGGTGTGCAGGGATTCTGGATTCCCTGCGGCGGGTCTCCATGAAGCCCTCGTGTAAATCTAAAATTATTTCATAACAAAGCTTTTAAAAGACCCAGACAGCCTTAAGGACAAGAAGACGAAGGAGGAGAAAGAGCCTCAGAAGGAGCTGGTGGCTGGAGGGTGGTCAGGGAGTCCTCTCTGAGTGGGTTGGCATTTAAGCCAAGACTGGAGGGACGCCTGGGGGGTGCAGTGGGGGGGCTCAGCGGTTGAGCGTCTGCCTGATCCCGGGGTCTCCCCGCAGCGATCCAGCTTCTCCCTCTGCCTGTGTCTCTGCCTCTCGTGAATAAATACAATTTTTTAAAAAATTATTTCAATGAGGCAAATTTTTTAAAGATTTTATTTTTAAGGAATCTCTACACCCAACAGGGGGCTTGAACTCACAACCCGGAGATCAAGACTCACACGCTTCTCCCACCGAGCCAGCCGGGTGCTCCTCAATGAGGCGAACCCTAGCAATTCGGTTCCTGACTCCCGCTTGCTACAGTTCAAGTCCCCTGTAGCCACATGGGGTGGGAAGGGTGGAGGGACGGTGTTGGGTGGGCACAGGTCTAGAACATTCCGTCATCGCCAACAATTGTATTGGACGGCCCTGCGCTGGGGAATTTTAAGCAAAGAGAGGGACGCAATCTGACGGCGAGTCCAGGAAGAGGCCTCCGCCGCTGAGGAAAAGCAGCCAGTTTGGGGTTCACGGAGGCGGAATCTGGGAGCGCAGGGAGGATGCAGGGGGGGAGCATCTGGGTTTGGGGGAGCAGAGGCCCAGACTAGTGCAGTAGCCAGCGGGGGCGGAGCAGAGCTGTTTGGAAGCAGCATCACCAGGGAGTCCTGACCATTTGAGGGGGAAGAGGGGGACCCGGACTCTGCCGCGAGCCCAGGTGGAGGCAGGACAGCCCTCGACTCCAGAGAAGCAGCCAGTTCAGGGACAGACCCTGTGCTCTGTCTGGGCCCTGCTGACCTGGGGGGTCAGGGGAAGCCCAGGGGGCCGCCCGGTCGGCAGGTGGCCGGTCACGGCAGCAGCCCTGGGGCGGCCCTGGGATCGCGGGGCGCTCGGGCCCAGCTGGCGACCGCCGGGCCGGGGTGTGACTTGTCAGGCGGCCGCGGAGCCGCGTCCCCAGGCTCAGAGGCACAGCTTGCCTAAATGCTAACAAGTTTTGCCTCCAAATGGTGGCGGGGTGTGCGCGTGTGTATGTGTGTATTTAATTCTGGAATGAATTTAATTCTAATTCCGCCGACTTTGGGGATGGGAAACAGCTGTCTTAATGAGTTAAACAGTGGGTTTAAAATAGCGAGCATCTGTTCGCCGTCTGAGCCAGCACCCGCCGAGGCCACTCCGAGCCTCTGAGCTCACGGTTCGGGGGCCCTGGTGGCGGCTCCGGGACGGCGGGAGACATGGCCTGGGATGTAGGTTCGAATCCAGCCACCCCCACCCCCGGGATTTCTCTGCACAGAGGGAGCTGTTTGCCCGCCTCACCAAACAGCACCCCGCGCCGGGATTGCAGCTGTCAGGCGGCCCCCCCCCCATTATGGGTGCGATGGGCCCGTGAGCACAACCCCCGGGCTTCACACGCTTCCTGGCTGTGTGGCCTGAATCACTCTGCGCCTCAGTGTCCCTGTCTGACAACAGAGGTGAGGACAGTGCCTCACGCAGGGAGTGGGGGGGGGGGGAGTTTAGATGAGCTGCCAAGTGTTAAACGCGCGGTGCCTGGTAAACAGGAAGTGCTATGTAAATGCATAATGAGGGTGGGTTGGGTTTTTTTAAGTAAATATATATATAATAAAAGTTGAAAGAGCAAAGAGGGCTAGGGAGAGGACAGAAGAGGGTGACAGATCCCACAGAGGGGACTGGGTGGGGCTGACTTGCACAGGGAGGTCAGGGAGGTGAGCCCTCCAGGCAGGGGGAAGAGCAGGTGCAAAGGCCCTGAGGCAGGACTATGCGCAAATAGCAAGGAGGCCAGCGTGGTTGCAGCAGGAGTAGGACCAGAATTCGTGGCTGCAGCAGGAGTAGGACCAGAATTCGCACCAGGCTTCAGTTGCATTAAGGGGGTTTGAGCTTTATCCCAAAGGCACTAAAGGAGGTGGTTTCGGGGTGGTGGGGGGGTGCAGGGAGCGAGATCTGATCTGCAGCCAGACGTAATAGCTCTTGTCTGGGCGTTTGTGTACATTTACTGAGCATCTACCGGACACCTAGGCCTCCGGGGATGATAGGCAGGAACAGACCCCACGCGTGGCCAAATTGAGGGAAAGGGAGACGCTGGGCACGCTCACGTGCTTCCATCCCAGTTTGACATGGAGCAGCCCCTGGTGACGCTCTGGGCACAGACAGCCCTGGGGTTGAATCCCAACTCTGCCACTGTCCTACCATAGGATCTGTCCTCAGTTTCCCCTTCTTGTCTCTGAGTTGTCTCATGGACAGGACAAGGTGCACGCCTAGACCTTCACACGCACGCTCAGCCCTAATCCCTTCAACAGTGAACCAGGCGCCAACCATATGGCCCCGCGGTTTCACCCCCACCCCAGGGATTTACACTAGAGAAACCAGAGCCCCCCGCCCCCGTCCACACAAAGGCTTGAGCCCTCGTGTTCAGGGCAGCGGTCGCCATCGCCCCGCCTGGCAGCTGCCCACGGGTCCGTCAAGCGGCGAACGAAGAAACAAGCGGTGGTTCATGCGCACCGTGGAACATTCGTGAGAAGACACAAGAGTGCTCGGCCTGCGACGGCACAGGGGAACGTCAGAGTCCTCATCCTCAGAGTCCTGACATGGGGCGGGAGGGGCCGGGCGCAAAAGGTGCACGCTCGGGGGCAGCTGAAAATGCAAACTAGTTTATAATCAAAAACATAGGCTGATTAGAAACGACAAATACCCACCATTTGCTTTGACGTGGATGGAACTGGAGGGTATTATGCTGAGTGAAGTAAGTCAGTCGGAGAAGGACAAACATTATACGGTCTCATTCATTTGGGGAATATAAAAAATAGTGAAAGGGAATAAAGGGGAAAGGAGAAAAAATGAGTGGGAAATATCAGAAAGGGAGACAGAAAAAAAAAGGGAGACAGAAAACGAAGTAGGGGTGGGGAAAGGGGAGGTGGGCGGGGGGGGGGTGACTGGGTGCCGGGCACTGAGGGGGGCACTTGATGGGATGAGCACTGGGTGTTATTCTATATGTTGGCAAATTGAACACCAATAAAAAATAAATTTATAAAAAAAATCATAGGCTGGGGGTGCCTGAAAAGGGGGTGCATGGGTGCATGGGACAGCAGGGAGGATCCACGGTGGGGGGAGGAAACCCAGGGAACTTTGGGGGTGATGGATTTGATCACTGTCCTAATGGCTTTACGGGTGTGGGTGTGGGTGTAGGGGGGGAGACGGGGAGGGAGGGGGAGAGGAGAGGGGGAGATGGGGAGAGAGGGAGAGGGGGAGGGAGGGAGGGAGAGGGATGGAGAGGGGGAAGGAGGGAGAGGGAGGGAGGGAGGGGGGGAGGGAGAAAGGGGAGAGGAGGAGGGAGAAGGAGGAGGAGGGAGAAAGGGGGTGGGAGAGGAATGGAGACAGAGGGAGAGGGAGGAGGGAGGCGGAGAGGAAGTGAGGGGGAGGGAGGGGAGGAGGGAGAGGGGGA